GATGAGTATATAAAATATACAGCAATAACACTATTTCCAAATGAAGAAGCATATAATAAAAGAATGTCGAGATATAGGAAATGGTATCAAGGTAAAAAGGAGCTACTTACCAGTGTAGAAGATTTATATAATCTTTATTATAAGCTATCCAAAAAAGATAGGCCTATGACTGAAACAGAGATTGAGGAAGCCGTTGAAGATGTACTTATAGACGAATAGGCTCTTCAAGCCATTGCTCTGCAATAGAGCGGAGCCCATTCTTTCGGAATAATTTAATATTGTTTAAGGATCCATTTAGGTGGATATTCAACCTCCTTAACTACCATCAATTGTTCTCTCACGAATGATCTCTCAGGACCATCCCCATTTTCATCCATAAGCCAGTATAATACCGGTTGATTTTTTTGTATTAGTGATTCTTTAATATGATAAACTTTGGGAGACCAATTCATATCAGTTATACGTCTATTACCAAATTCTAATTCACCAGGTTCGAGTAAATATAAAACAGAATCTTTATAGGTTAACCGAGGTTCATCAAACCCGATAGGCCTTCGATGTTTAACAGCAGGATCAGCAATTATTTTTTCCCCTTTTAATGCTCTCTTTACAGCTTCATTAGGTGACATATGAATTAATCGGGTAGGAGTATCATTATAAATGTCATCATTATTACAAAGATCTTTAACCCAAGATGTACATCTTTCAGATAAAGGTAAAAGGAAGTCAACTGCATCCTGACGAATATAAGCATGTTTTTCAAATTCTTGATGATCACGTTCACCAATTGTATTACTACGTTTGGATTTTTTGGGATCAAAATATACGTCATGACTTAATAATAAATCTTTACACTCAGCTAAATACTCAGTACCTTTATCAGTTCTAAAAACGTTAGGCCAAGAAAGAGGATTATTAGGATCGTCATAATTTTTTTTTAATTGCTTTAGCAACTGTAGAAGCCGATTTATTAGTTAACGCACAGCTTTTCGATATCTAGTTGCCACATCTTTTATTACAAGTCTATATTTAAAAACTCGATTACCAATTTTATCATGAGGCATAGGAGTAAGATCGGATTGATGCATTTCATTTAACCTCTGTATATTATTAAAGGATGCATACTGAATAAAACGTGGTCGAGGTTTATGAATCAAATACAATATCTGTTTATTTAACCAATTCTTTATCTCAGTTAACGAAAAATTATATCCAGCCCTTCTACATGCATAACGCATTTTTTCAGCAGTTCGATAATAACCTTCGGGTCTATAATATAGTTTTTGCAATGCGATCTCCCTATCCAAATCGCGGGCCCTCTGTGGGTCAATATAAATTACAGGTTGATCCATTCCTTTCGAGTATTATTAATCAGTAAAAAAAAAATAACCATGGGTGAATTACGGCAACTTAACCAAGAATTACATGAAGAACTTAAGCGAGTAGCACAAATTATGAGCATATAAATTACAATCTCGAAAAACAGATAGCTATACGTGAGAAAAGAATCCAATTTTTGGAAGATGAGTGAGGGATCACAAAATTTATCAAATAAAGGAACAAATTACTCGGGCAGTAATATATCAGAAGAAATGGCAACAATAGATGAGTTAGCCAATACTATTGATGGTTATTTGAATATTCCAGGAACAAATAGAACGATTTTATCCAATCAAATAAAAAGAGTTAAAAGACAGATACGTCGCAAATACAACAATCTTCAAACAGATCTTACAAATGAGCAACAACGAAGATATAATGCTGAAGCAGAACGAGACCTACGTCAAACAGAATTAAGAAATACAGAAGCTGATCTTAATTTAATGATTATTACATATAGTGGTGAAGTAAAAGAACGACGTCGCTGGTACTATTCCTATAAAGATAAACATAGACATGTTATAAATTTACAACGGGATAAATTTACTTTACATTTATTGTTACAACGATATAAAAAGCAGTTAAATACATGTCGTACTGAAAATGGATTATTAGAATATAACCGTGACCGAATATTTGATAGATACGAAAAATGGAAGAATAAAACAAAAGATGAACGGCAAATAACTTTAAATCAAAATCAAAATATTTTAAATTTACAGCAACAAAATTTAGCACTACAAAATAATAATCAACAAAATCGAATTATGGCAACTAATCAACTACCGACATATTCAGGAGATGAAAATTTGGAAGAATTTCTAGCTCAATTCAGAGCAGAAGTAGAAGCTCGCGGTATTAATGTAGCAGATGGAGCAGGTGCCCCAGCGGGAAGAGACGTTGGAAAAGGATTATTACGTGGTTGTATGAGAGGACGACTGTTAGAATGGTATGATGAAAATATTACTACTAAACAAAATTTCGAACTATGTAATTTATTAGATAATACAGGACAAGCTACTATACAGTTAGTTGCAGGACGTACAGCAGTACAAATAGGTAATCAAGCAATAAATCAAGCAAATGGACGAGCTGGAGATGAAATAATACCATTAAGAGCTAATGCAAATCCATGGAATGAAGATTGGAGTATTGCAGGAGGAAGACCGACAAATGATCCTGTTAATGCTCCTAATGCAAATAACGGTCAGACTGTAGTTGTAGCTGGAATAAGATTTGGTCAAGCTGTATGGTTATTAAAAACGCATTCTCCACCTATAGAAGAAGAAACACGAGCACTTATATATGGATCATTAGTTCAAGGTGATAATAGTGTAGAAGAATTTGTTAGAAGAGTAAAACATGCCGGAAGAATTTTAGGATATAGAGATGAAGATTTACGAAGAAAATTTTTAGATGGCTTAGTGCCAGAATGGTTAGAAAAGGCTGAAGATATAGGTGAGGATATGACTTTTGGGGATTTAACTAAAGACTAATAAAAATTGAAAAAATTCGGATGGCTAGATTAGCAAGAAAATATCAAAATAACCCAATTACCAGAGTGAATAAAAAAGAATCTATTCCTGATCCACAAAAAATGATTAATGATGCATTAGCCCAATTTAAATCTGAACTGGGAAAACGAGATGCAGATTATAAAGCTGAACTATCAAAACGTGATGCTGAACATAAAGCTGAAATAGAAAAATTAGAATCTAGGCTCTTTGAGCCATTGCAAAGCAATAAATTACAACAGAAATCACAAGTATTTGCTTCACAAACAGTTGAACCAGTTAGACAACCAAGAGCCCCTCCATCAAATTTAATTACGAAAGAAGATTATGAAACTTATTATTTAGGTAAACACTTAAATGATTTAGGTATATATAGTAAAGAAGATTTAGATTCAAATTATCCTAAAAAACCTTTTCAAAGATCTCGT